TTGTGACGAGCCGTCGCCCCCCCCCCCTCCCTCAACCACACCCTTCCCACACACCTCCCTCACCAACACTTCCAAATCAATGTTGCCTGGATGAAAATGCTAGAGTATATCGCAGGCAAGATGCGCTAAGGCTTCAACATAACAATTCAACATTGATTTGGGGGAGGGGGGTTATTTGAGCAGCAATACTGTCGGCAAAGTTATTTTATATACTGTAAATTACAAGCACTTTTGTTGAACATTACAGCGAAATTTTTCAATGATTGTACATTATATTGTGATGATTTCTTTCACTGCAAAATAACTCACACACTTTGAATTTACATCACATGAACTATCCAATGGTTGAAAGTACATTGGTAGAATTGGTATTATTAATATCCATTATATGGAATGATTGCGGTACAATAACAAGACATTAGTTACATAATTGGAAGTAGAAAGAAACTATGGAAGAATTAAATAAACTAGAACTAAAAACTATACAAAATAATTATTTTAAGGAAAACTGTAAACAATCGATTTGAAGTTCTAGGCCTATTTGACTTTGGTAGTTTCTGAACTTTTTACACTTTTAATAACTTTATATAATGATAGATTAATATTTTTTAATTGTAAAAATAGCCTTTTGTAAATTTATGATGTAATTTAACCTGTCGGTTACATTATACAGGTAAATCTGTCAGGTACATACATGTACATCATCAACTTGTTAACAGATTGCAATAATCGGAAAGACTTACAAAACCTTCCGTCTCTTATTTTACTTTAGGTGAAGCATGTGGGATTCCTGGCAGTAGAGTTCCTTACAAAAAAGGTGGTTTTACAGTTACTGGACTGCCTGAAGGAATTATTTTTAAGAAGCCGCTCAATTATGGAAGTGATCAGATAAAGAAAGTAATGATGAATGCGGAAGAAATTATCTTTCACATCACACGAGAACGAAACATAAACGATTCAAAACTAACCCATGACCCACTGGCTAGTACATCTGTACCATCAGACATTCAGAACTTGCTTTCTAAAATTATTGAGAAGGAACTGATACCTGAAGTCGTTTCTGGCAAGTATTCAATAGAAGAAAAAGATTTGGAGGTTAAGGATTTGCAAATTACCGAACAAGAATTTCAACATCTCACTACCAGGTTTCGAAAGTACTTCACTGAAGATGGCTGGAATTCCCTGAAAGGAAACTATGAAAGTGCTTGTAACCATGAGGGTTACATAATACCAGTCTATACCGAGTCGGATAAACCGTACTGGCTGTTCTATTATCCTGGAAAAATATCCAATTTGCTAAGTCTGGAACCAAATGCCGAAGTTTGGGGCTACTGGTTGAATCAGACAAAAGAGCAATGGCAGTATGAGTTAATATTTTCAAATAAGAAAATGTCAATCAATGCCATTAACATCATTAGCGTCCAAGAAAATGGTTCATCTGAACCAATTCTTCTCAGACGAAAGATCGTTCTAAAGAGAAGGAGTCAAGTTGTTGTGTGCCAATCATTCCATGATAGAGTCATTGCGTGTTTGGAAAATTATGGATATGTGTGAATAAGTTTTAATAGTTATTGTTGCATTGAAACTATATCTGACTGCGTTCATTCACTCTATTAAAGGCTTATTACGTTACATTTGCATTTGTGTTTGTAATGATTCGTCAACGCACCTTGACCTTGTCATCATCAGTCATCTGGACACATGCATAATGACATGCATTTAATTAAAAGTTCACCTGCAATAGAGCGTATTTTTGAAATGTGAAGTCATCAAATTATTTGCCTTATCTATTTGAAAGCTGTTACCTCAAAAAGTTTCCGACAAAAATTCTATCACATTGCCCGCTATTTCTTTCGGCTGCTAGAATGTATTAATTTATGTGCAAACCGGACCAAACCAACAACTGCAGTCTAATGGAATCCTGGTAGTCGCATTTTCCGTTACCAACTATGAAAGGTGTACATGCATGGTTTGAAAAGGCCCCTTTAGTTTCAAATTAGAACAGATCTCATGTTACACTACGATGTTTATATCCATCTAAAATAGGTTCTTACCCAGGAACTGCCCGCCTGTATTCTAAAAGCTCACTAACACTCAAACTCATTGAGTGGGAGATCTTAATCTTCTCATAACGTTTCAATGGCGGTATTTCCAGCCGAACAGGGGCTTGATTTTCAGTGATTTACCTTATATCTTTCCATCTGTTCAGAAAAAAACTTTCTCATTGATCAGCATTAACGAAATTTATATGTCACACTCGATGAGTATGAGTGTGAGTGAGCTTTTTGAATACAGGCGTAAGTCTCTTCTAGTTCACGTCCAATCATCATGAATTTCTCAATAACTCACAGTTCTTTGCTTTAGTTCTCTATTTGTGCAAAACCATCTCATAATGATGTTCAATTACTGTAGAGAGTTAAAATTTCAGATCAATTGAGAGATTGGAAGTGTACGATGAAAAAATAGGCTTAGCTTTTCTAACTTAGGTGTAATTATAAGGTGTCAGAGCAGATCATGCGTAATTGAATTCAAACTTCACGAAGGAATTACTGCTTGAAACTTTGCACAACTATTTGTATCACAAAAATTCTACACAGTTAAAATTTCAGCTCAATTGAGCGATTGGAAGTAGGCGATGAAAGAATAGGCTCAGCTTTTCTAACTTAGGGGTGTAATTAATATAGGGTGTCAGAGCAGATCATGCGTGCTTGAATTCTAACTTCACGAAGGAATTACTGCTTGAAACTTTGCACAATTATTCGTATCACAAAAAATTCTGCACAGTTAAAATTTCAGCTCAATTGAGAGAATGGAAGTGCGCGATGAAAGAATAGGCTCAGCTTTTCTAACTTAGGGGTGTAATTAATATAGGGTGTCAGAGCAGATCATGCGTGATTGAATTCAAACTTCACGAAGGAATTACTGCTTGAAACTTTGCACAATTATTCGTATCACAAAAGATGATACACAGTTAAAATTTCAGATCAATTGAGAGATTGGAAGTGTACGATGAAAAAATAGGCTTAGCTTTTCTAACTTAAGTGTAATTATAGGGTGTCAGAGCAGATCATGCGTGATTGAATTCAAACTTCACGAAGGAATTACTGCTTGAAACTTTGCACAACTATTTGTATCACAAAAAATTCTGCACAGTTAAAATTTCAGCTCAATTGAGAGAATGGAAGTGCGCGATGAAAGAATAGGCTCAGCTTTTCTAACTTAGGGGTGTAATTAATATAGGGTGTCAGAGCAGATCATGCGTGCTTGAATTATAACTTCACGAAGGAATTACTGTTTGAAACTTTGCACAATTATTCGTATCACAGAAGATGATACACAGTTAAAATTTCAGATCAATTGAGAGATTGGAAGTGTACGATGAAAAAATAGGCTTAGCTTTTCTAACTTAAGTGTAATTATAGGGTGTCAGAGCAGATCATGCGTGATTGAATTCAAACTTCACGAAGGAATTACTGCTTGAAACTTTGCACAACTATTTATCACAAAAAATTCTGAACAGTTAAAATTTCAGCTCAATTGAGAGAATGGAAGTGCGCGATGAAAGAATAGGCTCAGCTTTTCTAACTTAGGGGTGTAATTAATATAGGGTGTCAGAGCAGATCATGCGTGCTTGAATTATAACTTCACGAAGGAATTACTGTTGAAACTTTGCACAATTATTGTATCACAAAAATACACAGTTAAAATTTCAGATCAATTGAGAGAATGGAAGTGCGATGAAAAAAGGCTTAGCTTTTCTAACTTAGTGTAATTATAGGGTGTCAGAGCAGATCATGCGTGATTGAATTCAAACTTCACGAAGGAATTACTGCTTGAAACTTTGCACAACTATTTGTATCACAAAAAATTCTGCACAGTTAAAATTTCAGCTCAATTGAGAGAATGGAAGTGCGCGATGAAAGAATAGGCTCAGCTTTTCTAACTTAGGGGTGTAATTAATATAGGGTGTCAGAGCAGATCATGCGTGCTTGAATTATAACTTCACGAAGGAATTACTGCTTGAAACTTTGCACAACTATTTGTATCACAAAAAATTATACACAGTTAAAATTTCAGATCAATTGAGAGAATGGAAGTGCGCGATGAAAAAAATAGGGCTTAGCTTTTCTAACTTAGGTGCAATTATAGGGTGTCAGAGCAGATCATGCGTGATTGAACTCAAACTTCACGAAGTAATTATTGTTTGAAACTTTGCACATCTATTCTTATCACCAAAAATGATACACAGTTGAATCAACATAATAATTACTTCAAATTTAATTATAATAACTTGTAGGTACACCACGTAAGTATTAAATACTGCAAAGCTTTCGGTCCGTTAACCCGGACCTTCATCAGTGCAATTACTTGAATACACGTTTGCGCGTCACTTAAATATCATGTTAGTCGTGATTAGTTTGCTCGCGCTATTAATTAAACGGTTTCATTTAATTAAGTTCTAATTAATGCGCGCGCCCTAGACAAGTATTTGACGGTTAACGGACCGAAAGCTTTGCAGTATTTAATACTTACGTGGTGTACCTACAAGTTATTATAATTACTAAAGTCGCCATGCAATCATACAAGAAAATTATTACTTCAAATTTCTTAATTAATTTAACTTGTAGGTACCCCACGTAAGTATTTAACACTGCATTAAACTTGCTGTATTTTAAAAATACTTAGGTGGTGCACTTACACAAGCTAATTTAATTATTGTCACCAAGCAAACATACAAGAATATTATTCAAATTTCTTATTTAAAAAAACAACAGAGCTATATTCATCACTTCAAACACAGTGAATTTTGAGCAATGAGGATGCAGGAAAAATCAATAGTCACCTGGAAATTTATACTAAAGCGTAATATGCGAGGGACAAATTATTTCAATTGTTTTAATAATTTAATTTAATATTTGTTGTTATATAATTTTTTAATTTTTCTTTTAATAAATTAAAACATGCATGTTTCCACACATTAGACGGAGACTATGCTTGTGCACTAAAAATAAATCAGATTGTATAGACAAGATATATAATTAAAAAACCTATTATGTACATCAAACATCATGCAAAATGATACAGAGAGCTTTGCATTTATTTAGAAATCCATTTCAGATTCATCTTCAACCTCGTCATCTGAACTGTCTAAAATTGACAATATCTCATCGTCCTGTTCTTCACTCTGTTCCCTTTGGTCATCTAGTTGATCCAAGTTCTCGAAAACGTGTTTGGTAGAGGGCATGGTGCTTTCATGACTCCATTCGATTTTTGGAATGGACGATGATACATTATCTGGTAGGTGATTGCCAAACGTTGCACCAAGAACAATTAGTTTGTTTTCCTCTTCCAGAATCTTTCTTTGAAGTATGCACCGAATTCCTCGAATGAGTACGGTTGATGACGAGTCATTGTTGTCCTTCAGCCATTCTAAAAAACTTGACTTTTGGGTTTGGTGATACGTAACAAGCCTACACATTTCAGTTTTCAAATAACTTGTTTCCTCCTTGCATCTTTCGATGAAATTATGCAAATCTATTGCGCTTTTCTTCACAGAATATGGAACTTGATCCTCACTCAAAGTGCTTTCTCTGAAATCCTTATATAGGTCGGATTCTGGATCTTTTACCTTGTCAAACTCTAGCTCTTCTGGCAACCCAGTTACATTGTCTTTCCAAGCAGCAAGGCTAGCGTTGTACTTTTCAACAACTACTTTAGCAGAATTCGTCCTTTGTGTTATCTGCTTAGAAACTTTCTCTGCAATTGCTTGGCCGTCTATTAATCGATAAAAAAACACAAACGAATGAGTCATGTCAAACTTAGAGTGGGAATTCCCATTTTAAATTAAAGCTCATCATTACAAATGAAAGTAATGTCGATTCATAGGATACGGCACACCGTGAATAAACATGTTGAAAACTTAAAACAGTTTTACCATTGCAGTATTAGCATACGAACTTCAACTTCCATTATAACATATGACTACTAAAGGGGTCGTACGCGTCTACGCGACGCAAGCCTTTTTAATGTTTACATTATTTTGTTTTGCCTTCATTTTGAATAAAAGGCAGTTTATATTGAATCACTAGTCCGCTTAATTGATAATTATATGGTGCCAACCTAAACTAAACAACCAAGCATAATTCTTGGATCATCAAACGATCACAATTTGAGTTATAGCAAAAAAAAAATACCTGCATATTTTCGCTTCAAATTTAATAAGAACATACGTTCGACTGCAAGTGAGTATAATTTTTCTAATGCTTGGTTTCGCCTATCCCGAAGAACAGACAATGCTGCCACGTTGAATTTCTCCTCGCCCATTCTCCATCTTGGGTGAACCTTGTAGCTTTTTTCAATTCCCATGACAATTTTTAAAATCCTGAAGTTACATAAAGGTATATATGACTTTTAACACCAAAAACAATTCTATTCGGTCGCTAGTTCCAATACTTACGCTTTCTTCCTCTTTACAAGCTCGTTTATGGTTTCATGATTTTCAGCTTCTGTTGAAGCAATGCCTTGTCTGTAGCATACCATTATAAGTATTAGAAAATATTTTGTTAATTAAAAATAAATGAACAATCAGCCAGGAAATGCACAAAATATATCATTATCAGTCTAACCTCAGTTCCTGCAAGAAAACTAAGTTCTGTACGTATTTAGCCTCCCACGACATGGGCGATGGTTTTCTCTCTACAACATCAACAGTTTATGATAATATTACACATCTTGTTACAAATGAACACGGTATTTCCTTACGTTATAATTGGTACATACTGCCTCTCATTAACAACATATTCTCTTCTGCTTTCATCCAAGAGTTAATTACATCAGTACCATAGGAAACTGAAATTGAAAGACTTTTCTATTATAACGTAATTCGACCTATGACAGCACTATGATACTAACACTTACATTGAAATTTTCCGCATATACAAAAGCCTCATCCAATAACTGTTTAATACTATCAAATGTTAGATAAGATGTTCTACCTTTTAAATCTGAAAAGATCTCCTCCAACTGTACTACTGAGTTTTCCATTAGTTTCTTTGTTTTTTGCATTTTAGACAACAATGCCGGACCTGTGGGGAAAAATCAAGCATTGAATTACAAATATATAGTCGCAAAAAAATTACCAATACTGTAATGATATTGGTGGCATAAATCCACCAAGGCAGAAATATTCAACTAGCCAAACTGTAGAAGACGATGTCTTGCATGGTGAAGAAGCGCATCTGTTAATACGTCAACCCTTCGACCAGCTGTCATTTCCTTTGTCATTGATGAAAATCCTCTGAGGTAAGACCAAAGTCTTTCAATTCCTTCACCGTCAGTAAGGCCAAATCCCTCCTTTCTTCTAGGACCAAAAGCAACCTACATTTCGGGACAATTCTGAGATAAATAACAACATGCGACATACTGCATTACTGCACCTAAGAATGACAATTAAATTTTTGATAACAAAACCGACAACTTCTAAACCATATATTGACCTGGCAAGAAGATTTATGTCCATATGCATGGAAAACAGGAATTGCCAAGTCAATGCGTCCAAGAATGGTATGCTCTTCGTTTTTCTATCAAAAATAAAATATATATGCAAATGGATATTGAAATTCATATATAATAATATTCAATACATGTAAAATTGCACATGAGATTACATCTCCAAATGACAGAACTTTACTTCTTCTTAGAATTTAAACTGTAATCAGGCAGCTATGCCTATACCTTACCTTTAGGTGGGCAGACAAAGTACATGCAATGTCATACATTATTTTAACATCAGTATCCTCATCATAATGACACAGAAGCTTTTTAACCTCATACACTGAATATGCTATCCTAAAATATACAGTATGTTGCACTAAATTACTATCAACATGTACACTTGCACTTTAATTTGATGACTGTTTGCTCACCTTTCTCCATGTTTGATACTCATAAATCCCCTTGGGTATTCATGTCTGCATACTCTACCAAACACTCCCTTCTCGTCAAAAAGCTTATTTCTTCCTTTGGATCGTAACATGTTACTAACCTCACCAGATTTAAATTCATTGCAATCCTAGGAAAAACAGTGGATTCTTCTATAATAATGATAATATTCAACAAAACTACTTTTTACAGTACAATCACCAGTAACCACTTACAGTAGGGGCTTGCTTTGCCTTCTTTGAGTTGTCATCAACAAAGCTATCGACATCATCCTGATTGGCAAAAAATGTACCATTGTGTCTGGCAGGTAAAAGATTCGCACCAGCAGACTTTTTTCTCACAAGCCCAAAACATCCATCCATGCACTCAATGGCAACATTCTTGTCAGTATCAGTTTCACTCTACAAAATTATCACAATATGTTAAATACAAAAAGGAGAATGTGACATAAAAGAAAAAATACCTGTGGAGTTCTATACCTGCAAAGGACATAACGGGCAAACATTGTCAGGTTTTTGTTGCAAGACAAATTGTTTCATTGTTTTGAACAAATGTTGGTGATATCTACATAAATAAAATATTATTGTTGGTATTGTAAATATATATATTATATATATATTATATATATATATATATATATATATATATATATATATATATATATATATATATAGAATTGAAGTTTAAAATTTATCATAAAAAGTTGCAAAAACAATAAAATAAAATATTTGACAAGAACAGTACTGTGTCATGCAGTTAACCAAAATACGCCCCTACCTAAATTCATCAAAAGAATCATCATTCAATATTTTATAGAGATTCTTAACCTTAGAAAACCAAAAAAAATATATAATGTATGAATAAATTTATTTATCTATGGTATATAATTAAAGTGTACCATATATGACATAACATTGATTATTTTATAACACAAAAGAAATCTTTAATATGTTTCACATGTATATATAACTTATTTTCTAGTTTCTCACTTCATTTCATGGTTTGCTAACGAGACATTCCAATTTGTGTGATATGTAAATAAGTGTATATTTGCACGTCCACTAATTATGAAATTTTAAACTTCGCTCGGAACATGAGTATCTGCACTCTGTAGACTTTATAGTTACTGTATACTAGTTAGCTGGCAACCAAACTAACATCATAATTAGTAGGCAAATATAATTTAATGTCTTATATATCAAACAAATTGAAATATCTCTTGTCTCAGCAAGTGTAACCAACTTAAAATGAAATGCAACCTGAGGTCTAACAGCTGATCCTGGCCATAATTGGAACTTTACAAGTGTAACTGCAGCATCTTCACAGTTACAAAAGTTGATCCATTTCAAGTGTTGATGCCCTAATAAAAATGCACCAAAGGAGAAACTTACAGAACTTTTCTCACAATTATTTTAGGACTGAAAACAAACTTGAATACAGTTATCAAATCCACAGTACCAATAAACCCACCTTTTTCATCAATACAAATAATGTTTTGTGCTTGTGCAGTTGGACAATTTCTTTGGTGATCAAGAGTCAAAACACCATGATTAACAAATAAAGGAACAAAACAACCATCCTGAGAAAATAAGCAACATTAATTTTTAAACAGTTGGGTCTGGGGTAGGGTCAGTTCTGAATATGTAATATACATATAAAAGATATTGAAATATGTTATATTTTACGCCAAAAACATCACACGCACCTTGAAAATTTCAAGTAGGTGAAAGACGTTGCGTTGTTCGTGGATAGTTTTCGCGCAGTTGATGCAAAACAACTGTCTAGGACCACAATCCACGCAGCGACAAACAGCGAAGTTGTTATGGCACTCGATGCACATTATACTTTCGTCACAAAAAGCTTCTTCCTCAATGCGTGCTTGCAAAGAGACCCCCTCACATCTTCCCAACTGTGATACTCTTTCACCCGGCGCAAGTGATATCGTGAAAGACTAGAAAAAGCTTGGTCATCACTTTCATGGCTGCTATTTATATCGTCGATATTTGAACCATCAACATGTTCTTCTTCCATTCCCGTTGTGAAAGACTTCTGCTTACTCGAACTTGACTCCTGAGAAATCTTGCAATAGTTCTTTGAATTTAAACGCACATGTCTTGTAGTTTTTTTTCCCTTTGTTGACTGCGTATTAACGCGAATTTTGCATGCCTTAAAACGCTTGCAAGAATCCGCCATTTTGGCGAACTTCTATTTAGAATTTATAATACGCAATAATAACAAATAGCTCGTTCCCAGTACAGCAAACAGCGAACGTGTTAGATGGCTCAGATGATCATCCCATGTCACATATATCCGATGTTCTAAAACTTAGAATTCTCATTATATGTGATTTAGAACACGCGGAACGGGTGTACAGCATTACGAGCCATAATATGCCTTGGCAAGGTGCTAATTAAGTTGCATAATTGTCGGAAGTCTGTAATGTATGTAAACAGACAAAACCAGATTTTAAAATCAATAAATTGAGGTATTTTGCGTGTTACATATTATCGCACTTGTAAATCTATTTACAAAGTGCGATAAATTTAAGCTAATTTATTTACATCTGATAATCTGATAGCAGGGCCTCCGTCCGAAGCAGCTACTGATTAAAATGTATTCAAAATAAAGGACCGCATCCTAGGACGAGAATGCGGTTCAGCATTTCAGCTCGTTGTCTTTAATGCAGTCTGACATGCAAATTATATACAACAATTGAAATACCCTAGCTAATATTTGAAGACATAAATACAGTGACCTAACGCGCGTTCGGTAGGGTTAGGACGAGAACTAAAATAAGGTTCCCCAGTTATTGGGGGCCAGAATAGATAACGAAACATCATAGTATATGAGCAAAACGTGATGAATGACAAACAGCGAATTAAGGGACCCGGCAGTACCAAGTATATCTCAAGACCCCATCCTCTGTTCGTTATGCCACTGCATGAATATCCAAGCAATTTAAATATGACGCGTGCATCTAGTCTAAAACTGGAGCAGTGCCCCGCTTGCAAAATTGTCTTATTTCCTTAAAAGGGTATATTTGTCTCACCAGATCTAAGCCATCTGGCTCGATTGTTGCTGGCATGTTGAAAGGTATCAATTGGCATAAATATAACTTATGGCATAAATATAACTCATGCATTGTAAATGTTTATTTAGACTCTTAATTCACAAAAAAATTACTTCATATATGTTGATATATATATGCACATTTCAGCACAATTCACTCCCCATGCATGTAGCTATATTTTGGTTGTGATTTGATTTCTCTCGACTAGCTCCTCGAATCGGAAACGTGGAACGCGGAAAAGTCTCAAATCGTACAAATCATAGAGACTGTATGAAAGTAATGAAGCTATATCAATGATGTTCATTGTGTGACATTGTTTATTACAATAAAAAAACAAGAGTGTCGTACAATGAACATCATAATATTGCTCAGGGAAATTTAGCCTATAGGCTTTGATAATGCACAAAATATCATCTGGTCAACATAATTAGAGCTGTGGCCCGTGTGAAAAATATAACAAAACAGAAATTATGATCTATATTATACCATTTAAGTTTTGTTGATATTAAACTACCATAAACCATCAAAGACGCCGTCTACAAATTCCGTGTTTTGTGAGATTGAGTTTAGCGCTATGTTTTAACCAAGTGCGTGCAGCCTTGCGCACAACTGGCCCAAGCCCAAGGGCAAGTTGCCAAGCTAACGTGTACAAACATTTAAGTTTGACCTTTCGGATATTTCGCTTATATATATTTCGCCATACTTCATCAGAAAACGAACATTAGAATTTATCTTGCTTGGACAACATATCAGCTGCTTGGGCAACAGGAAAATATTCACTAATTTTGATTTGGGCTCCTTTATTAGGAAATTACATTCCGGATATTAAATTGCAATTATGCATGGTCATTGCACCTTGAAGCCTGCCAGCTAGAGCGGCAAAATGAACAAATTTGAAATGGCGCCTATCAACTGTTTATGCGTATATGAGCGCGCGGGTAAAGATCTTTACCAGTAATTTCGCGAAGACTAAACCAAATATTTGCTGGATATTAACATCTATATGGAGAAGTCAAGGCGTTTTACCCCTGCATATAAAGGTATGAGACTATACGAAACATTAGCTATTATATAAGGCAAGTCATGACTGGGCATACTTTATTAGGCGCGCTTGCATTATTTCCCTCCCAGCATTGAAATCAGGCTTATCGATGAAATCATCAACAGAATTCGTATTACGGTTGGCTCGATTTAAAGTTTTTTTTCCTTGAGTGTGTTTGCCTGGCTAAACTGTAGCTCTCTATTGATCCATGCATATATCGAAATATGACACGCATTCGAAGTAAGATTTCATATAGATGATCATGCAATTGTATATAACAAGACGTTCTCAATTGCATTTTATGTATATATGCTAACGCGAGTAAAATGGAGTCGGATATAAATGCGCACTGCAATATAATCCTTTAGATTACTTGCCATGGCCGGTGGAATCGAGTTGGGCCACGATCATCCAATCATTCCGAATAAACATGACATGAAAGGTTGCCAGACCTTTAAAATGGCTTGGCTGAGGTTAGAGTAGTTGTTAGCTTGGTGGTTACAATTTAATAGGATGCATTTACTCACATTGAAACAACAATTGTTTGCAAACTTTTCTGACATTTGTCAAAAAATATGTGGGTAGATGCTACCTTGAAATATATTATATTATATGATATAAAAAGTTTTCGCAAGACAAAATGGATTGATGCTTTGATGCATGCCTTAATCATCTGTCTGGGGAAATCTTGATTAGTTAATTTTATTGTAAGCAGGCGGCACAAATTGTGTCACAAGTAGATGTCTCGAAGATGTTAAGGATCGGGTGTTTCTTAAAATGGTGAGTATAAACTCCCCTGTGCATGCATTTGGCATTGTCGTTTCTATATGGGCGGCAGCATTGCTATAAGCTTTGCAGAAAAAAATTATTTGCACTCTTTGTGATTTAAAAACTCGGTTTCTATATGGGCCGTGTGCTATTGCTATATGCTTTAGTAAAAATAATGTGCACTTTTGTCTTGCTGCCGGGGTTGAGTATTAAGTTGCTTTGCAGGGCGGATTTTCGGACCTTTAGGATTGCGGATTGCCGCGGTCGTTTGAAATGAAGATTTCGAAAATTATCCCACTAATTTATGCGTTCTATTTCTTTAGGTCACTATTGTTAGGCTCATGCAGTTAGCTTAGGCATTTTTACACAGTTAACTATGTAGATGGTCGAATATATGGGGGGAATGAATATAGTGACCACCAATAATTTAGTTAGATCACAAGTATTAATTAGCGACTTGTTATACTGGTTAAAAATCATAACACATGCATATGTGATCGTATGGTCACAAAATATGTAACTAATATGAAAAAAATATGGCGGCAGAAATAGCGACATTGCAGCTTTAGCTTTGCGAAGAAAATATAGCGATGGTGCATGCAATCGACAAAATAGATTATTGTCAAATTTAAAATATTCTTAAGGTAATGATGCCCTTAGTTGCTAGTGACTTGCTACTGACAGTACTGTGTATAGGCGACATTCCGCGACAAGCTTGACCGCGGCTAAAGCTAGGCTACTGGTGTTGCTGCACGGAACATATTGTGTGCACTAGGTAAATATCCAAGCCTATATTTTAAATATTTTATTACCGCAATGCATTGCTGAAATTGAAATGTGGATTTCATGTGTATAAATGGTGTGGATATTTAATGTAGTATTTATACCAAATAAGTTTTGACAGCATGCAAGCACACGTTACTACGCTGGTTCGCATACAAACGAACTTTGCGTATGCGATATTCTGTATTAATGTTTGGTTATCATCGGTAAACAACTTGATCCTTGCGCTAATTAATTTAATCGTTTGCGCGTCAAAGAGTATAAACAAAAGTGTACAATGGAATCTCTTGTGTTTAGTTTAACATAAAGTATGTATCCAGTAGCTGAAACTCAACCAAACTGAGACGGCAATTTTTGTTTACTGTCGGTTTACAGCCGTGTTAATAAAACGGATGCATGCTGTATCGCCTGTATGTCTTTGTTTATATGTCTTTAACCACTCATACATAGAGTTTGTTCGTGGAAAAATTTACAAAACCTGTAACGATGTTGCAAATGAACACGCGCTGAATATTTTGATGGGTATAGTTGCAGATGATGCATTAATTTGACATAACGATGATAATATATACTAATAACTGAAGGCTTTCTAACGATTAACCCGAATTTTGATGCAAAACGCCAATGTATATATGTATATAAAGTATAAAATAATGGGATTTAGGTAGTATAGCTAATAATTTTAGTTAAACATTCAAATGAAGGTATAGCTATTTATGTACACACATACTTGGAACAACACATGTTACTTGTTTGAAAATATTTCCTATTCTTTTAATTAGATAAATTAGTCAATAATATCTTGCGTCAATTATACGCGCAACAGGCGTTCAGACAAATTCGTTAAAACCGTTCATAAACATAAATCGTTCAAACGGCTTCAGATTGAACGTTTATTTATCCGTTCGTATTCTCGACTTTAAACGTTCACATTTTTAGCTGAATTCGTCAAAACGTTTTCTGGGTTCGTTGAAACGTTATTACAGATCGTTCACTACCCGTTCGTTATCCGTTCGTTTTGCCGTTTCAACGAAATATCGTTAACGTACGTTTTCCCGTGGAAGGTCACATATCGTATGGGCGTTATATTCGTATACATATAATAAAAAGATGTGTACGTATACGACGTATAGATTTGCAGTGTTGCAGAGGAATGTTCTAAGGGAACATTTATTCCCCAATGTTTAATCGAATATTTGTCCATATTCGGGTGTTAAG